TTTTTAATACATAACAAAAATTATACTCTATAGGTCAATTGTATCAGTTATAAACTCCAGATAATACGCATAATGAATTGCGAACAGCTTCAATATTTTTATTAAAAACTAACTTTCTTTATATTCTTTATTTTTTTCAATACTAAACACAAAAATCAATTTTAGTAGGCAGATAATCCGAAAAATATAAATGAAATTATAGTTTATAGAATCTTCAAGCAACTGAATCTAATGACTTTAAAAGTCCTCATTATCTAATTGATTGACTCTACGACTTATAGCACAGATATATATGAGAGTAGTTTTATTCAAAACATTTAGATGTTATATTAAATATATAATCTATATAACGGTTTCTGGCAACGTATAACGCTAACTGATTTTTGAAGTTACTGTACAATTTCTTTTTAAATTTGTTACATTTAAAAGCATATTCTACTTTGAAATAGAATATGTTAACAGGAAAGTACATGTTAATATTTTACATTTTTTCATCAAAATGAGATCGTAACTTCAAATCCTCCCAAGATGCCACCCTAAGTACAGTTAACAAAATTTAAATTACAAAATAATAATAACAATTTGAAGTGAAATAATTTCAAAGTCGATGCTAATAAAGCTTAAGTACAATAAACAATAATAAAGCAATTATTGTAGATTTAATTTAGTAACTTTCTCAACTTAGACCATTTCAACGCTACTTTCTTTGAAAAGCGCTTAAAGTGTACGTCGTGCCCAGTGGTGCAGGTGAAAAGTATTTGAACTTGTAAGTACTCACAAGTACAACGGAAAACCACTTAAACAAAAATTAAGCGCCAGAAACAATTACACGAATGAAAGAATACCGGAAAATGGTCAATAACGAAAATTAACTACAGTTCGAGATTTCTTTCTAACTCGATTAATACGCCGAAGTGTAAATAAATTTGCCAACTCTGAAACCGTTCAGCACCAGACGCTGTCGTAAACTCAATAGTAGCGGCAAAAGTTGAAACAGTGTTGGGAGTTGTCGACTGAGAGAAAGGGACAAAGAGAAAGAGAGAGTCTGTAGCAGAGTAAATTATGAATTATCTCGGTCAAATGAAAAAACATTCCGCCAAACTTTGCGAACTAATGAATATTATGTTAGGTAAACACTGTGTCTTGTGTGGGTATAAGGCACCGTCTGGTGTCAGTAAGAAAGTAAGCAAGCAAGATACCGGAACCATTAAAACCGAAAGCAAACAAACCAAACGATACCATTGCAAATGGCACTGCTACTACTAGTCCTACTGTTGCTACTGACTAGATTCCTGCCACTAACGCTGGTTCCATTACTGTCGAGTAGCTAAGGAATGTAGCTCAGGAATGCTCGCAGAATGAACGAATGAAGAAACAAAAGTTTTACAACGTTGAATTAATTTTTGTTTAGTAATCAAAAGTTTAAACTTGATTAAAAAGGCCAAAGGTTGTGTTTCACTCTTTTTGTACATTTTCTCTACTTTTGTAATGTTAAATACTCGTATACACTACAAGCTTCAGTTATGTAAAATTGCTGGTGATGGTTCTGGCTGTGTTTGTATGGAGAAAGCAAGGTATGAATTCCTGAAGAGTGAATTGCGTGATTTTCATTTAGAATCACAACGATAAGTAGCTTCTCGGATGGCATCTTTCTCTGCAAATTCAAGGCTCAAACAAGTGCCCCGAAAAGGATCAAAGTAAAAAGTTTGAAATGGCAAAGGCGAAAAAAAACTAAAATTAAAAGAATGAATTTCCTTAAACGGAAGTTGAAGAAATAAAGTTCAATATTGAAAATAAAATAAATAAAAAAAATTGTTTTATTTCCCTTTGCTAATTATATATGCGAGAATTAAAAATTTTAAATTTAACTTAATATTTAATAACCTGAGTTTTTATTTCATTACATTCATGAACTGAAGTGATACTCTTCAATGCAATTTTGCAAACTCTTTAAATGCAAGGAGAAGAGGAAAAGTGGAACGAGTGTGGGAAAAGTACGAAGAAAGAAGAAAAGGTTGCAGTCTGAACTTTAAATTCAATGTTTTTCCTCGTGTTGGTACATAATTTGTAATTCGCTTTACTTAAAATTCGACTTCGGATTACATCGGACTTAACTTGTAGTTGTAATCAGATTATCTTAATTACCGACCAAGAAAAGTTTTTTCTTATTTCCTGTAGTATATGTTGGTTCGCCGCTTTTATACATCCTTCGGTACAAAGTTACCAGTCCAAAGATAAATATGTTCCCTTTGCTGTAGTCTTGAATTTACTGGTATCCTGGCAAATTTGTTTCTCTCTCTGAATTTCAGCATTTTTATGTTGAGTTTCTATGTCGACTTCTGTGCTGGTGTTGCTGCCTCAATGACAAGTAACGACACTTTAAGTGGTGCTTCCCATTAAAAATTCACTAAGAAAATCGCCACTTTAACTTTTCAAATTAATAATAACGAACAAATACACCCGAACGAGTAACTTAATTAACCACCCGGGAATAATGACTAACAGAACAACTGACTAACAAACCGAGATACACGCACAGAAAATAAAATTTAATTCAAATTTAAGGTAACTCGTGCTGAAATTGGCGAAACTTAAAGATCGTACTAGTGGAAAGACATTTAATGGTTTGGTAAATACCGAAATGTGAGATATGCAAATGTCTACCAATCTAAAATAAAATAAAATACAAGTAAATTATAATTTAGTAATTACATTTACGGTGTGGACATCGAAATTAAAGTTTACAAATCATGGCAACGGTAATGAGAATCACTCGTTGAAAAAGGCCAAACTTAATAACTAATTACTTTGTTTTTTGCCGGTTTTTCTATAAACGTCGAAGTACCAAACTCATCAAGTAACCATTACACAAACAGATTGCCTTTTATAGGAAATACTCGTAATTATAAATAAAATTTAAATAAATATTTTTAAAAAAACATTGCCCATTCTCGTACACTTTTTTACATTACTTCTTTTCATAACCTTTTTGCATTTATAGGTTGAAGAGCTTCGCAGTAAGTTTTCAAATAAATCACTTTTATTAATTAGTTTTTATTAAATCGAATATCAATTTCAACAAATTTAATTTACATTACTTCCATCTCATTTAAAATAACAAAAATGCCTACATTCTCAGTATTCGGTATTTGACTACAAATTAATCAATCAATATGATATTTATCTAATGAGTTAATTGCTGAGATTAAAATTTCTTAAAAACAAATTTATTCAGCATATGCTATAGATAGCACGAAATTATAAATTAATAAATAAATTATTAAATAGAAAATGGAAAAAATAAAAATTTTGTATATATGTATTATTCAACTTAAGCTGGAAATAAATGAATTATGTTAAGTTATATTGTTTTTAATATACTTCCTTTATTGTTTTTTAAAGGACAAGGCTATTTTTAAAAACCATAGGAAAACTGTACTTCCTTACGTGCTATATATATATATCAAACCCATTTCCTTGTCCCCAACATTATAAGCAATTATTCTCGTCTCATAATTTGGTATTTGATATCATGAGACTATTTCTTAAGTTAATAATAGGTCCTGATACTAGTTAATTGGAAGCTTTCCATACGTTTTATGAACCCAAGTGGATTGATCTTTTTTTGGGTGTTTAGCCTCACACATATCACATATAACACATATCACAGAACTTGCCTTGTTATTTATATTTTCATGATGTCAAGAAGAATATTGATTGGTTTATTTTAGTTTATCAAAAACCAAAAAACATGTTAACTCTTTAGTTTAGATATCAAAGATGTTGATTGGCAGTAGGAAACTTTAGTTAAGGTGGCCATAGTTAATACTGACTACTCAATATTCCAAAATAAAGTTAGGGTTTTAATAAGTAATGTCAGATATCTGCATATTTTTTGCTTCCTATAGGGTCACTTAGCATCTTGAGTGTGTAGAGCAGTGTGTTTTGATGCTCGTTCATCCATACTTTAGGGTAAAAGATTCCAATGCTTTCTTTGTGATGTAAATTTCCGTGTACAAATACAATTTAATAAGGCAAGAAGCTCACCTAGAGGTAAATTTATTTATTATATGGCTTGCCATAAGCCATATAATAATAAACAAGAGCAGATTTAAGATTTAATTAGACGATTCTTTAGCTTTAGCTTTAAAATTGTTAGAGTTGGTAAAAAATTGTAGTTTTTTTTTTTTATCAACGATCAGTAACCATCTTCGTAACCATATCTTTATTTTTTATAATAATATTTTCTTTAATATACTTTTTAAGTCTGGCATGAATAACTTTGTTGGCATTTTTTTTTGTACATTGAATGTTTGCTGCTAAATAATTTTTAAAGCTTGCAGAAAGGACTTTATAGAAAATTAAATTTTTGGTATTTAAGTTTTGATATATATTTAAAATACAGATTATAAATTAAATACAAATATAGAGCATTACTTAATATCTCATTAATACGTATATTAATAAATTACACCTATTAGCAAAAGAAAACGGCGTACCTATCGATACACACTTTTTTGCAGTTTTATATTATTTTCTTATTAAAATTCTAAGAGGAAATCAGAAAAAATCTGAAAAAATTAATCAGTTGACAGGAATCCATGCAGTGATATTTATATTGGATTTTATTAAAGCCCCAACTAAACGTATCAAGTCTATGAGTCAAATGAAAATGTTTGCGATTCCTCCTTCCCGAGGATGAGTAGGCTGTCGCAAGCACAAGCAGTACTTTCAAACCCCTTTTTGAATGCAGCCAATTTAATACAAACCGACGTGACCAAGTCTGCGGTCACGAACCAACAGAAACGTGTAAATGTGCTCGTAGGTTTATGGTCGTTGATTTCATTATGAGGATAATTTCTGTAAATAGTATTTAAAATACTGCTAACAATACTATGGCAGTTAGGCCTGTTTGGGTGGGTTTGGCATTGGATCACATCTCTCTAAGCACCATCATACCTATTTGCTAATTTTGGTAATTCTTGAAATAAAAGAACAGAAAAAATTTTTATTTTTCTAACGTCTAAAATTGTTATTATTTCTCTCTTCGAGTTTGTTTACAAATTCTATGACAACTAAATAAATTTATATTAAAACAATTTTATGTAAAAAATAATAATATAACCAAATTAAAATTTCGTTGATTTAAACCTAACTACAAGTAAAGTATCAATTAATATTAACAGCCCATCTTAGTGCTTACACACCAGCGAAGCGTTAGCGCAGGTGAAAAATGCAAATGCGAAGTTCTAAGGATTGGCTACAAATTAAGTTTGGATTTCTACAAAATTGTGCCAGGCTTTCGCAGTGGCAAACGCCTTCTCTGTCCCAGTAAACCTAAACCACGTGCTTGTTGTTTTGTTGTCGTTTCAACTGGCTCAGTTGTTTCCTTAACGCCATCTGAATCTTCATCAGTCGAATTTGTTTCTTCTTTATTGTCCGCTTCATTGGAAGAACCTGGCGAACTTTCATCCACCGGTGTAGCTTCTATAATATACAATTATTAAATTTACTTAGACTTTACTTTGTATGTAATTTACTAACCTGTTGTTGAAGCACCAAGTGGTAGACGTCTCTTAGCTAATAAAGGATTGACTTTGCGAGCTGCTAAGGGCGAAACAGCTACCTTTGGCTTACTGCTTTCAGTCTTTTGTAATGGATTTAAGCGTGGACGAGTTTTGAGACGATTTAAACCATTGCCTTGAGACTCACCCTCTGTAGTCTCTGAATCATTTTTTTCTACATCTTCTCCAGCTGGTTTAACATCATTGTGATGACTGCTATCAGCAGCTGAATCATCTGAAATTGGTGCTTCTGTCGTGCGACCAAATTTGCCCCTTGCTGGCAATCTGCTTCCTGACGCCCGGTTAATGTTAAATCGTGAAGGCCTTACTGGAGCAGCATGTGAAGGTGTAACTGGTTTTTCTTCAGAGCTTGCAGCGCCCTCAGCTTGTTCATCTTCAGTAGCTGGACCCTTAGTTGTTGTTGATCGGCTACGACCACGCAAATTCAAAGTGGGACGAGCTCGTAATGCGCGTGCCGTTGTGCTGGAGACTGCTTCTTCAGGTGCTGATTCATTAGAATCGTCTGCTGGTTTCACTGTTGTCGTTGAACCGCGAATATTAAAACGATTACGTGCTGTAAAATTTTAAGTGATTTGATTAAAAATAGCCCCATTAATTCCAATATGAGAAACTTACGTCTACCTCTACCAAAACCTGAGCTGACTGGTTTAACTTCTTTGGCTACAATTTCTTCTTCAGCATTGCTTGCAGGTGCTTCAGGAGCAGCCGTAGTTCTTGCTGAACCTCTGGTACGTCCAACTGATGGACGTGAGAATCGATCTGTACAAAATTTAAGTATATTAAAATTATGGTATTTGGTATAGAAAAGAAAGTATATACTAATATATACACTAATAAACTACTTTGAAGCATTCAGATTATTGATAGAAATTTATAGGTAAACCACTTTAGATTTGAAATATAAAAATCGCACCGGCTGTGATACTGCGTAATAAGTAATGAAAATATTTCATATGAAATAATTTATGCAGGGAACAACTTAGTCGCATTAACATAACTACACTTCAATTTATCTCATAATTCACTTACTTTTCTTAGTTGGTTCAACCGCTGCAGGTGCTTCGGTTGTTGTGGTTGTGGTTGATGTACCTGCACCTTTATTGAGTTTGAAACGATTGCGTCCGCTTCCAGGTAAACCAGGTCGTCTGCCTCCGAAAAGCGAAGCCTGTGTTGTTGTGGTTGTTGTTGGTGTTTCTGTTGTTGTAGTGGTTGTGGTTGTTGTAGTAGTTGTTGTAGTTGTCGTTGAGCTTGCTTCATCAACTAGAGTTGTCAGAGTATCATCTCCGTCCGTATTTGTAGTGTCTGGTAAAACAGTAGTTGCATCTGAATTGGTATCTGTGGTCAAATCCATGTTAAAGTTTTCATTTTGCAAAATTGCATACAAATCCAAAGCAGCCTTTTCCATTGACTGTGTGGTATGTTCACTATCCCCCTCGATTTTTTCAGTTGCACTATCAACATTACTCTCATTAACAGTTTCCGATGTATCTGCATCAATTTTAGATTTAGTTTTCGCTGCAGCAGCTGCTTGTTCCTTTTCAATTGCTGTTGCTGACTTTGCTTCAGTGTCACCATTTCGTGTTCCCTTGGGTTGCTTTTCGTCTGTATTGAATGTTTCACTATCTACCAATTCCAAACTTGGTCGTTTAACACTTATCTTTTTTCTCTCAGCCGCGTTCTCCGTTGCATCCAGAGCTGGTGTTGGTTGTAAATCAGCATTTTTGCCACGACTTGGAAAACGAGTATTTGTCGGCAAACGTTCAGTTTCAATGGAGTCTGCACTCGTTTCAGATACACTCGATGATCGTCCCTTAGCCTTACCACTTACTAAACTATTATCGTTCGGTATCGCTGTGGTGCTTCGCTCAATGTTACTGTAGCGAGACTTGCCGCGTGAATCGTGCTCAGATTTTGTAGTTGTATCAGTTGCTGCCGATTTCGGTTTACTATCGTCTTCATCTTCTTCGTAATAGTAAACATATTCATACTCATAGTCTAGACCATTTGGACCTTTCTTTATTTCTATGCGGGATTTCTTATTGTTTTCAGAACCAGCTGCATCTAAGCTGATTGTCTGATCCACAAATCCAACATTAATATCATCATCGAGATCATCTTTCTGCTTAGGCACTGCTGTTGTTAAAACAGTAAGTGGTTGCACAGTTGCGCTTTCGTAATCCTGACTGGATCTGTCTTCAGCTATGCTTTCTAATAATTTTTTTTCCGCAGCAATGGCTGCTTCTGCTTCTGCTTTAATAATTTCCAATTCTTCTTGTTCAATGGCACGTTTTGCTTCGATGCTCTTCATAACATCTTCGTTTATAAGTGCGCTTAAAATAGGGTTCAATTCTGGACGCTCTTTTGTCGGTAATAAATTCATATTGCTCGAAATTTGTTCTAAATCTCTAAATTCTCTGCCAATTCTATGTGAGGTATGGAAGGCATCATCTCCTACTCCTTCTGGGCGTTTGTGTGAAGTCTCAAAAGACACTGAGTGTTCTACGTGCGTATCGGATGGTAGTGCATTATCCGCCACTGCATTGATGGAGTTGTCAGCAATGGCCAGTACCACCAAACAGTTGAAAAATAAACTGCAAAGAAAATAAATTAAAAATTAATTAAATATAAGACAATTGAAAAAAGATTTCCAAAATTTTAAACAGTTATTTAATAACTAACTAAATTAATGAAACTCAAGTGTGAATTTATATATGTCGTTTTTTAATAATAAATTATGTTGTTATATGCTAGATTAGAAGTGATTAATATTTATAATAAAAAAGTTGTCATATGAAAGTTCGACCACTTCATCAATTCGACCAAATATTTATTCTGAGTTGGATATAATTTATATTTTATTTATAGATTGAGTTTACTCATATCTACTGAATCTTGTCGACTGTGGAACTGAAACTAAAATTATAAATACTCCAAAACACAATTTCACGGATATAAGCCTGTCTCTTAGGTATGGATAGAACCGTACAATACGTATATTAATACTAAAATAGCTCTGCAGAATTCTAGGCCCTTGTGCATTTGCATCATATCTTAGAGATTTAAGAAGTATTGTATAATTCTCTTTCTCGTTTGTATTTTTTAAGTTTGATTGAAAGGTATTGTATTTCTACTATAATCGGGTGAGCAATTTCTACAGTCTGAAAAAATTCCATACTTGCTCAATAGTTTTCTGCAGCTTTTTATGACCTTTTCACAAAAAGTAGCATTTACATCGCACATAACTGCCATCAATTTTTATTAAATAAAGTGGAAAAACCTGATTTATTACCAGTTGATTTGCTTTAAATAGGACAACAGGAAAAGATGTAATTTATATATTCCAACAAGGACGTTGAAAATTCAATATGATTGATACGGTATTATTAATTGTGCAGCTTAACTGACGTCAGACTTTTACTTTTCATGGTATGCAGCTTACAGCGCTGTAAGCTAATATTATTATTACTTCTGGCAGCAGTAAACAGCAGTAAGTACGGTGGGAGCTGGTTATCTTTGATAATTTATGGAATATTTATTATTTAAATGCTATTTTGCATTTGTTTAAGCACATTTATGTTTGTATAGCGATGTGTAGCTTTATCCGAACTACACAAATCGTTAAAAGACAAAAAGTCATTCATCATCATCATTAAAGGGTAAATATTTATCGCAAACTGCAGATAAATGCGCACATTTTTATGTTAATGCGAACTCGCTATATTGCATTAGTAGCCGCGCTTGCGCTGCGCTTACATTGACGCTACTAAACTCCATCGCCGTAACTAATAACGTTCGTATTGGTAAACAGGCACGATACAGTTACTTATAATAAAGCTTACGATACACACACAGCTTATAAATATTTTTAATATTACACAGTTCAATGAGCAACAGACACTTTACGCTAGCAAATATGGTCAAAAGACTTCGTCCCTCTCTAAGCTGTCAATCCACGAACAACATTGAGGTACGGGTAAATACCAACAGCATTTTCACACATTTACATACTTCATACTCATTTAAACACGCATACATCTTTTTAACAGCAGCACCAGTAGCAGTAGCACTATTAGAAAAAGCAAAAGCAGGAGAAAAAAGATACAAAAAAGTCATTAAAACTCAAGGCAAACAACTTTAATGCTTTTGTGCAGGGAGCAGTAGAGCGGTAGAGCGGTGAAGCGGTGGAGATGGTTCAGCAGTGCATGCAAGTCCACATATGCAAAAGTTATAAAAAAACTGATGTAAAATTTGGGGATTCAGTTTGTTATGGACTGCATAAAAAATTTATAGGCACACCAAGACTGTAAACATAAACAAAACTGTAAGCAAACAGTAAGACAACGACAGCCAAGAGCCCATACACTGGCGATGGTGAAGTAACCGGTTAAATGCGGTTATTGATCAAAGTATTGAAAAGGCACCCTTTCGATGAAATTAACCCATTTCAATTGCAACAACAACAGGTAAATGTACAGACTTGGATTTTGTTTACTGTTTACTTCCAATTTCATTTGTTGATCTTTCATTTGATTTTTTTCTTATATGTACAATATTTTGGTTTACGTTTAGGTTTTGTTGTGCGGTAGATTTGTAACACCGCTGCCATATTTGTTGTTGTTAGTGCTTTTATTACTGTTTTTTACATGCTGTCTGTCGTTATGGAATCAAATAAACTTGCACATCTCGGCGATAACGACTTTTAACATTTCTGTTATATTCATAGCATTTAGCAAGCATGCAATACGAGACCAACAGACAACTATCAATCTGCAGTTGCAGAGCAGTGTGGCTGTTTTTATTGTTGCCACAGTTGTTGTTGTTGCTGCGCTGTGGTATACTGTACTGTGCTGTACTTTATGTCAGTTATAATGTAACCAGTTTTAAATTATTTTCTCAGTTGAAACTACTTGCAAAAGCAAAGGTAGACAACTTTTCAATTACAACAACAGTTAAAAATAATAATAAAAACAACATACATAAAAAATGAAATGAAAGAGAAAAACAAAATACACAATCGCGCATAAATCGCATATAAACATTTATAAATTCTTATTAGTATATGTAATATAAATAGTCATATACCTATGCATTGCATTGTGTGTGGGTACAAAAATTTCTAATAAAATTTAAAATTCATTAAACGCAACGGCGGCGCCCACTTAAGCAGCACTACTCCTTGCCTTTAGTCAGCAGAAGTGCAGTTGTTGGCAAAGCGGTTCTTCACTTAAGTGCAATTATTCTTATTTGCTAGACATATGTACTTCAAATTAGTTACGATTTAAGCATTTTCAAGCAGAACTGGTTCGTCTTCTGTAAGCTCCGATGCTGCTTCTTCTTTTTCTTTTTCTAAATGTGCTGTAATGTAACATTCATGCTTAGTCAAACATATGATTTGCGTAATAAATCTGCACTACACACAGTCGCAAACATACCAATGAAAACAAAGCATATGTAATCTTTGTAAAAATCTTAAAGGTGCGCTGTGGGTGCTACTGTGCATTTGTTTTTACGGTTTAAACATTTTTAACTGTTGAACGTGTGCGCTACACTTTTGGAAGGCAATACTGATTTATTGATATATGGAGAAAGTATATGTAAAAATCTTTGTGTTGTGTTAGACTTATGTTATATATTTAAATAACGCAGGACATATATGATAAACTATCATCAATCTATTCAAGTGTCATATTGTTGCAACCAACGTAATGAAAAAACTCTCTAACTTAAACAAAAGCGGTTTGATAGTTGAATATTTTAGAATTGTTAATTTGTATTAGAAAGTACAAATTCAAATACAATAATAGCATAAAACAATAAGCCGGCTTCATTGTTATATTGAATATCGACCTATTGATAAAGTTGATTTTGTCAGCGGTAGAGTTTAAGCTATCTATATTAGATATATAAACAATTCTTTATATATTAAATATGCTTATACACATTCCCTCCCTTAATTTTTTCTATAATTATTTTAACTCTGTTTAGTATCATCTTATGCTTTTTATTATTTATTCTTTGCTTTTTTTAATCCTGTTTGCTGGCACTTCAACATTTTTTTCTTTTATCGCATAAAATTGAACTAAACCACACACGGAATAAATGCGAATCTAAAGCAGAGAGGTTCACTTGGTAATTTATGTGAATTCAATTTAATAGGTCAATTTATGTCTAACTTGATTCCTTTAGTAAATAATGTCTAACATTTCATATAAACAATAGTTGCACATTTTATTCAATAAACGTAACAATACAATTAATTAAAACCTAAAACGAGAAAATAAATCTATAAAAAAAAGTGCTATAATTTTTACAGTTGCGTATTGCATAACGACAAAAATTTATATTATTTCACATGATTCAGTAAAATTAATAGAAATCCAATTATTCAGGTTTGACTGCAAGCAGAACTTATTTTTGAGGCTACAACTGACTAATTTAAATTGCATATTGATAAATCAATATCGATTGGTGACCTTGATAGTTATGCAACTACAGCATTCCAAGCAGCCAATAAATCTAGGTTCAAAATTTTTCTCTTGATGCGTTGAATGCGCTTGATTTCATTTCTCGTAAAGCAGTAAATAAATATTTATGCCTATGAAATTTTTAAAGTTTAAAAAATATTTAATTTAAAATTTGACTAATTTATTATGCGATATTACCGGTTATAGCAAATAATCTGATGTTGTAACTTTTCCATGCATTCAAATGCAATATCCAAAGTCGTATGAGTTAAGTCGAGGCATTTCTTAAATTCGTTCATAATTACCAAACTGTGAAGTGACTTTGTGTGTTCTAATTTTTATAATAAAATACCTTTGTCATTCGAAAATATATATTATTTGGTATAGTTATGATGAGTTTTTTTATATTTACTACAATAACAAATCTTAAAATTGGTAGAAATTTTAAATTTTATTCAAATGTATAAAATTATAAATAATGATCGCATAACAGCCGTGATCGTTGATAAATTACATACACAACACTTATTATATTCATTTCAGAGTTTAATATATAGTTGATAATATATTAAATTTACCATATTCATTATCAAGGATCTTAAAGGAAAAATTTCTAATAAATTAACTCGAAAAAAAATTTAGTGATTTTTATTAATGAGTTTTCATAATTTTATATAATTATGAATTTCATGTATTTGGCAATATTCGGCTAAATTTAGTCAGCCAAAAATTCAATTAATTAAAAATAAAAAAAATTACTATTGATGTAGTTCACTAATTTGCGAAACCTCTCTATTAAATTTTATATAAATGTAAACATAACTAATAAATAACCAAGAATAAATGTATAACCAAGAATATTACAAGCAAACGACTATATCTATTGCTAAATTTCTTGAGTGAAACATAAGATTTTGAATATTAAGAATATGTCCACAAAGATATTATTGTCAGATTGCTTTTCTATTTTTTTTTTTATTATTTAATACGGCACTTTTTTCTTAATTTTTTTTATTTTTATACAGACGTTTCTGTAGAAGTTGTTCGTTTGCTTTTTAGGTGCTGTTAGCTGGCATTAACATATTTTTTTAGTCTTTTGATACTTTTCGGAAGTAGGTTTTAATCTTTGTACTGTTTTTTGGTATTATTTCTTTGTGTTGATTGACAGTTTAACTGTTTTTAATTAAAATTTTTGTATTTGAGTGAAATTGACTATTGACTCAATGAAGTAGCTTTATTTGTAATATTAATGTTGGTAGTGTTTTTGTTCAATTATATTTTATTAAAAGATTGAAATATTTAGAAGTAGTGGTGATATTTAAATTTAGTGTTTAATGTCTATAGTAAATGATGTTAAAGGTTTTCTTTTATTGCAGAATTTATATCGTAATCAAATCAGTTTATATATTAGCATATTTAAATTGGTTTTCTGGAATAATCTATAAAAATGTAGCTTTCTACAAAAATTAATAAAATCCATACAAAAATCAATATTTTAAACAAAATATTTGTAGTTACACAATTAAAACACTGTAGGATTTTCAGCTTCATTAACTTTTTATAAGAAAGCTTAACAATAGATTGATTTTAAATAAAGTGTACTGAACCAATATCTCATCTTCAATTATAAATTCACAACATTATGAACATCTCAAATATATTATAAAGTAGCAATACAATACATTAAAAAAACTTATAAAATTCAAAGACTTAACCTTTGATAAATGATAAATATTTAACCATTTTTAGACTTAAATAAGATTTTAGAAGATATTTACTTACATTTTGAGAAACATTTTTTGTTTAAGCCTCAATTTTGTAAACAGGAATATTCGCCTAGAGTGGTAAAAAGATATTTAAAAAAATATTGTTTGCTTTTTGTGTATATATTAAAATATATATATTTTTTTGTAATTTATTTGCTAATTGTTTCGATATGGAAAGATTGTTAAATGTCGTAGTTTACTTTCACTTTTCACTTCAACGTTTTGGCAAATTTGCAAATCTATTTGACTTTTTTTCCATTCAATATATTAGTATTTATACAATTATATTTTCTATGATTTTATGAACAATTTTGAAAAAAAAATCAAATCGAACCCGAAGGTACTCGATACACAGTTTCAATACGTTTCAGGTATCTTAGTTTTATTTTGTTTGCAACTGAAACGTAGCTATTGATCAAATGCAGTTATCTTCACAATTTTAATTTTAATTCAATTTTTTGTATTTTAGTTGAATTTTTATTTTAGTTTGATTTGCTTTGCATTTGAGGTACTCACTCGTTCACTTCGTACCACGTATCTTTATCTGTGCGCGCACACTTTGCAGTCACTTTTGATTTCGTTGCCAGCCAAACAAGAAATGGCAAAACGATGCGCGTTCGAAATATTGAAAACCGATGCCATTAACCAGTGCAACGGATACGATCGCCAAACGACGACGGTTTGGTTATAACGCCACGGACGTTATAACCTGTAAAGCCGACCGACATATTTCGAAGAGCGGACTATAGAAGGAAGTCTACTTCATACTCTAACATTTCATGGTCTATACTGTTCACAGTTTTTTATACTAAAATCGTTCTCAGTCACACTGTACCATAACATTTCATGCTCACGTTAGCATGAAACACACGAAATTCACTCTTAATACTGATTAAGATAAATTTGGATCCCATTAAGACTTACTTACACCTTTGGAATTTTTTTAATATCGCTCTCCACAAACCTTGCTGAATAAATTGCTGCCAAATATTGCTGCAGATATTATTGCTGTCGTTGTTATTGCTGCTGGAGGCGATGCTGCACTCAGACCTTTCGTATTTGCTGTTACAGGCCGGCGACTTCAGCTTGGAGTATTTCATTAAATTCAGCGTTCACTGTGTTTCTCGTTTATTACTGGGGCCACTTAAAACTTTTACTGGTTTCGCAGAGTGGTCACTTCATATTAATTTTTTTTTTTGTCTATAAATGTTAAAACAACAAATTAGTTAATATGATTATAAAATACATTTTTATGGTATATGAAGCTGTTATGGACTTAGGTCGAAAATGCTACACATTTCTTGTCGGTATTTAAAGCTTCCAAATATAAGTTTATTAATTAATTCATCTTCAGTAATATATTTTTAATAAAGATTAAAGATTCTTTAGTAATCTGAAAATAAAATTACAAAAATATACAAGAATTCTGAGATTTTAAATGAATAACAAATAAGGAGTTCATCTTTTGCGATAAAATCGTTAAATTCAAAATGTTCATTAGGAGTTACTAAAATGTTTTTGATAACATTTTTCACTTCAAATTATGTTATATATCAGCACAATTTTATATAAAATAAATAAATAACTTTTGTACGTATATAGAAATAAATTTAAATATAAAGATATATCCTTATTTATGAAGTTATTGATCTGTAAATACACCCGATTTTCACACTTAAAAGAAATAAATATATAAACTACTTTGAAATAATTGCATAATCTATGTAAAATTTTAGAATTAAGTACCTATGGTTTATAATTTTTCATATCAAAGTCTTAACTAAAACCAAACCTGTATCAGCTGTTAAACACTGCTAACTATATTAAATAAAATCTGGTCTAAACCACTGATTATGCATACGCCTTATAAGGGGACAATGTGATTGTTCAGAGGTAAAGTTTGCTATTATAACTAATATGGATCAGTTAACTTTAAAATCACGGTTACTAAGAAATTTAACCTTTACAAATCTTACAAAAAGAGTGTTCATGGAATTGGTGAAGGATATAGTCAATCTTTCGTCTACTTTCCCAAACGCTCCTTAGAAGTTTTTATTATATTTGTTATAATATGTACATTTACTTATGTTGGTTTGCAAAAAATTCAGTAGACAAATACTTCTTATATAGCTGTGCCACTAATTATAACGATGATGTTACATATGGACTGTTATGAAGTATTTAATTTTGAAGAAATTGTCGCTGAATCAATACACAATTTATTTTTATATTTTCTCTTGATTAGCATCAAAAACGTCGTCCTACTATGTAATACGCGTATCTTTGACCAATAAATCATCCAAATAGTGAATATATGTACTTCTTCTATTATTAAGGAGGTTCTTCTACGATATTATGAGTTTGTTCATGGAATTTAAAAAACATTTTCCGTCATAAAATAATCTAAAGAAAATCTAATCGTATGTAAGACTCAGAAGACTCTTCTAAGACTCTTCTATTATTAAGGAAGTTCTTTTACGATATTATGAGTTTGTTCATGGAATTTATAAAACATTTTCCGTCATAAAATAATCTAAAGAAAATCTAATCGTATGTAAGACTCAGAAGACTTGAATCCATTTGCTCCATTGGTGTGAAGCCGCATAAATTTCGATTGGTTAAGCTGAATATGCAAATGAACTGGTCAGCATTTCATCAACTTTTTATTAGTTAAATTATGTTTAATCATTACTTCATGCAACTTCGTATTTAATTTGTTTACATTAGTATTTTTAAATATTTATTTACTTAATTAATTATTAATATTACTTTTTGCAATGTTATTTATTCGTTGTGTTGGTTGTTGGTTATTAGTTGTGTGTTAAGTCAATTTGATTAAAAATTTGTCAATTCGACGAATAAAAATGCCTCAAATTTTTAGGGCATGTCATTAAGCAAATTAAACGAAAATTATATAAATATAAATGTACCTTTATATGTTTTTATATGCATATTTTATTTAATTTTGACATTTACAACGAAAAAGAGAAAAATCTGTTCGCGAATTATATCTTCGGTGCAACTTTAATGGGATCATGGCCGTGTCTTTTGAACATTAGCGCCAAATTATCATTTAAAGTTACGAAGCAATTTCTCATTATTTGAATTAAAATTTAATTGAAAGTATTTACTTTGGTGTTTGGGGTAGATATAAGCATACAAGATAAACTATCTGACCTCAATTATCTCGGTGAATATCAACAGAGTTAACTTTTTACTGTGCCTTTTACCAAGTTGACGCATAGCCTCTGCAAGAAATCACTACCAATGCTGGTTATATAACTAGTTGGTACACTAAACACTGCTGTGGATAAATCAATTGTATTGAAAACGGGACCAATCTTTTGATTAAAAATATCGCAAAATAAACTATAGGGATGTTCTAGCTCCCTTAAAGTAAGGGGATTATTTGTTACACGTTTGCTATTACTCGTCTAGATTTTGATTAATGAAATGAAATTGCCCCGAAAATGTATTTTTTTGATATTCCTATATTGTTAGTCAAATTATGGATAAATTTTACAACAAACTCATAAATAATAATAATAATTAAATGAATCCAGATATGTTTAATTAACATCGCTATCAATTCACACAAAATTGTATATGATTGAAAAAATCAATATATTGGGAACGACTTCTTCTCTCTTTTCATAAGCTACCCTTACTCTCATTTCTTTTTCTTTGTTAGATTGTCTGAATTAGGATTCACTTAAAAGAAATAAATTAATAATTTTTCTTGAAGGATACAATAATTTTCCTTATAATTAAAGTATCAATAATTCAATATATAGAAGCGAATTCTACTACTGTCAATGTTTTTAAGCTTTGTTACTTTTTACCATAGGCTGATTTGCAGGTCTGATTTCGATGCATTAGGTCATACTATAAATATTTATAAGCAACTCTGCCTATTTTGGTTCCTGTTATGTTAATTCCAAATCTTTGGAATAAAGCCTTTACGAAAATTACTGTTTTTAATTTGGTCTTATGCTAATGAGCTCGTGTCATTATTGCTCAAAAATTCTTTCATATGCCAATATAAGCGCACAGTTAAGATGATTTTTTTTAAGAACTGGATTAAAATCTAATAAAAAGAACTTTTGGCAAATAATTTTGCGGTTGTCGTTTTAATAATTCTCAGAAATTTCGTTGACAAAGCTTAATTACAAGCAACACAACAGGAATTCAAAGCCATCAATACAACACAACGGCGTAACAATACAATGTGACTTCATGATAAAAATACATAAAGTATATATACATATATAAAAAACAGCAAAATTATTTAATTTTTAACAGGAGTGGCCAAGAAAAAATGTGATGTATACGCCACCACGCACCGTAGGCAGAAAGTTACATGAGCTGCGGAACGTGCTTAGTACTCACATTCGTACCCATACGCTAAGACCGTAAAATAAATTCAATAAGGTTGATATATTTCGTTCAAAAGAAAATATATAAAACTTCAAAAGCGAAAGAAAAAAATTTTAAAATTTCTTCAAAAGCTGCCAACAACAAGAAGAAGTAAACTGCTTCAAAATAAAAGAATTATCTTCGCAACAATAAAAATAAAATTTATTGCCGTCAATTATTATGCAAGAGTTGAACTGACAGTCAAGGAAGGAATAGCATATGCGAGTATTTACGTAGATACGTAGATACGTAGATACGAAGACACTACGAATACTCAAAGATATATAGCAGCATGAAGACACACCATATGTGCCTGTACATATGTACTGCAGTTTTAAACTGTTAAAAATCCACTAAAAACAGACACGTACACACTTTTAGTAGACTGTTGTAAAATTTTAATATAACACTATTTGCATACTTACCATATTTACATAGATAATTACAAAGACACACATATTGACTTATGGAGAAAGTGAAGAGTTTAAGGATTCAAGCCAAAAATAGACAAAAACTAATTCGCTTGATTACAAAGCAGTTGAAGAAGGAACCTCTTACGATCTTTACTGGCAATGCTTGTCACGCTTAATTGAGTCGAACAAAATCCGCATTAAATTAATGAGCCACAAACTGGCTCCATTCGCCTATTTGCCCTATTGGCATTTTAATTTTACAATTCAATAAAAATCAAATCGCACTGAAATGCCTTTCCCCATAGCCAATGGCGTTTGCGACGCTAATAGAAAGGTGAACAGCATTTTTGCTCTGCGCATGCGTACATATGTGCAATGTACATGTGTGTGACTTTAACATTTGAGCATTTGAGTTGCTAGTTGCTAGTTGCTCGTGAACGGTGTCTCATTGACATTTCTATGAGTCAGGTGAACTGTACTCCATGGTACGCGCTTCGTATACTAATTACACAAAACTCGAAGTTATTGTGGGCTTATCTGGTATTGCATCAACTGCACGCTAACAGCCACAAAGTCTTTGTCTTGAAAACCCAATAAAAAGCACAAACGTCATAAAGACATTTAAAGTAATTAAAATAAAAATTATTAAAAAATATTATTTGTTTTATTGAGCCGCGCATTATGTGCTTAAGCGGTCAATAACCTCTGCCCATGACAAACTTAGCAACCTCAAGAGTTCTTTAACTCTAAAGGATGCTCTGCTATACAAATAATCGAGAATCAACTTAGTTATGTGTTTTTCTTTTAAACGCCAAAATAACTGCTTTTAAGAATTTCTGAATTTGTGTTGTTAAGTTTGTAAGTTCCAAGAAAATGCAATCTTTATTTTTTGAACATCGAAACTCTGAAAAGATGAGAGCTTCACAAACACTCGATGCTCTCATTTGTCACAACTGTAAATGTTCTTGGCCAACAAAAAACCATAGCGGTAAAAAAAACTAAAACATTAGATGTTCAATGTGTGGAAATTTAAAAAAA